GGTACATCATGTCTGTTGTGTTTTATGGTACATCACTTCTGTTGAGCGCTTGGTACATCATGTCTGTTGTATTGTTTTGTACATCATGTCTGTGGTGTTGTTTCGTAAATCATGTCTGTGGTGTTGTTTGGTACATCATGTCTGTGGTGTTGTTTGGAACATCATGTCTGTGGTGTTGTTTGGAACATCATGTCTGTTGTGTTGTTTGGTACATCATGTCTGTTGTGTTGTTTGGTACATCATGTCTGTTGTGTTTTTGGTACATCATGTCTGTTGTTTTGTTTGGTACATCGTGTTGGTGGTGTTGTTTGGTACATCATGTCTGTTGTGTTTTTGGTACATCATGTCTGTTGTATTGTTTGGTACATCATGTTGGTTGTGTTGTTTGGTACATCATGTCTGTGGTTTTGTTTGGTACATCATGTCTGTTGTGTTGTTCGGTACATCATGTCTGTTGTGTTTTTGGTACATCACTTCTGTTGAGCGCTTGGTACATCATGTCTGTTGTATTGTTTTGTACATCATGTCTGTGGTGTTGTTTCGTAAATCATGTCTGTGGTGTTGTTTGGTACATCATGTCTGTGGTGTTGTTTGGAACATCATGTCTGTGGTGTTGTTTGGAACATCATGTCTGTTGTGTTGTTTGGTACATCATGTCTGTGGTGTTGTTTGGTACATCATGTCTGTTGTGTTGTTTGGTACATCATGTCTGTTGTGTTTTTGGTACATCATGTCTGTTGTTTTGTTTGGTACATCGTGTTGGTGGTGTTGTTTGGTACATCATGTCTGTTGTGTTTTTGGTACATCATGTCTGTTGTATTGTTTGGTACATCATGTTGGTTGTGTTGTTTGGTACATCATGTCTGTGGTGTTGTTTGGTACATCACATCTGTTGTGTTGTTTGGTACATCATGTCTGTGGTGTTGTTTGGTACATCATGTCTGTTGTGTTGTTTGGTACATCATGTCTGTTGTGTTGTTCGGTACATCATGTCTGTTGTGTTTTTGGTACATCACTTCTGTTGAGCGCTTGGTACATCATGTCTGTTGTATTGTTTTGTACATCATGTCTGTGGTGTTGTTTCGTAAATCATGTCTGTGGTGTTGTTTGGTACATCATGTCTGTGGTGTTGTTTGGAACATCATGTCTGTGGTGTTGTTTGGAACATCATGTCTGTTGTGTTGTTTGGTACATCATGTCTGTTGTGTTGTTTGGTACATCATGTCTGTTGTGTTTTTGGTACATCATGTCTGTTGTTTTGTTTGGTACATCGTGTTGGTGGTGTTGTTTGGTACATCATGTCTGTTGTGTTTTTGGTACATCATGTCTGTTGTATTGTTTGGTACATCATGTTGGTTGTGTTGTTTGGTACATCATGTCTGTGGTTTTGTTTGGTACATCATGTCTGTTGTGTTGTTCGGTACATCATGTCTGTTGTGTTTTTGGTACATCACTTCTGTTGAGCGCTTGGTACATCATGTCTGTTGTATTGTTTTGTACATCATGTCTGTGGTGTTGTTTCGTAAATCATGTCTGTGGTGTTGTTTGGTACATCATGTCTGTGGTGTTGTTTGGAACATCATGTCTGTGGTGTTGTTTGGAACATCATGTCTGTTGTGTTGTTTGGTACATCATGTCTGTGGTGTTGTTTGGTACATCATGTCTGTTGTGTTGTTTGGTACATCATGTCTGTTGTGTTTTTGGTACATCATGTCTGTTGTTTTGTTTGGTACATCGTGTTGGTGGTGTTGTTTGGTACATCATGTCTGTTGTGTTTTTGGTACATCATGTCTGTTGTATTGTTTGGTACATCATGTTGGTTGTGTTGTTTGGTACATCATGTCTGTGGTTTTGTTTGGTACATCATGTCTGTTGTATTGTTTGGTACATCATGTCTGTGGTGTTGTTTGGTACATCATGTCGGTTGTGTTGTTTGGAACATCATGTCTGTGGTGTTGTTTGGTACATCATGTCTGTGGTGTTGATTGGGACATCATGTCTGCCTTTTTGTTTGGTAGGGAGAACGAAATCATTAAAATGATTGAGTTTCTGTCTGACAACATCTTCGTCAAGTTTTGTGGCAAAATCTTCAGACTATTGGCATACCTTTGGCAACCAACTGTGCCCCTCCGTTGGCTGACTTGAGTTTTTTGTTTTCATAAGAGGCTGAATTTATTGAAGAGCTTATCTTTACAGGTCACAAAGAGTGTTGTTTAAGTTGTTTAATGTTACTTTCAGACCTATTGAAGATGTCTGTCTTTAAACAACAAGATAATTATTGACCATGTCCATCGTATATACCCATCAGAACTGGATATCAAAGACACAACAGACTCTTCTACATCAGCTGTTTATCTCAATCTTTTCTCACACAAACCAACATGAAAAGCATTCCATTAACCTGTATATTAAACGTCATTATCTTAATTTCCTTATTATTAATTTTCTTTTTCTGGATATCAATGTCCCTACATCCCCAACCTATGGTTGCTACATGTCACAGCTGATTCGATATTCAAAAGTCTGTTCCCATTCTCACAATTTTCATGCAAGAAGTCATTAACGGACAGAAAACCTCGAAACACTGGGGTTCAAAAGATGCAGGTAGGTGAAAATTATGGAGAAGTTTTATGGTAGCTATAGTGATCTCATTAGGAAATGGAATTTGAGTTTGGATTATGATTATGTTGCCATGTTGGTATTTTCTTGATTTTTTTTCAATTATTTGACATAAAAAATATGAAATTGATATAATGAATATGGGTTTATGCATCACATCTTCTTGTTTTGATTTATTTGGGCCTATTCAGGATTTTCTCAGCTGCTGCCTTGGCTAGCATCACTACCGAGTCCCTGGAGGACAAAACAACTGTTTCATGCAGTTTAAATAATCATTTGGCCCAAATGTATCTAATTGAAAACTTGTACTGAAATGTGCTATATTCATTTGGATCACATTAGTACAATCTGATGGAAACTGTGTCTATATAGAAGTGATAAAGGGGCTAACATTTCCTCCCAACACCCACAAGATGAAACACGAGAGGAGACACAGAACAGTCACAGGACGACTCACAATATCATCTGTAATAGTAGTCTTATCTAATGGCTATCATGAAGTTCCTTGATGAATTATTTATTTGGACATCTGTGTAATCATATTATATTATTTGGAGAAGGATATTTGTATGAATATTGAACAATAAAAAAATACAGATAAAAAAAGCAAACAAACACACACACACCTACAAAGAAAAAAAAAACACACACACACACAAAACAAAAAACTATTTCCGCTAATTCAATGTTGCCTTTTATCAATCATTTTAAATAACGTTATTGTACATGTAAATAAAAGTGACTAGGGGTTCAACCATCCCTCCAGTGTATATACATGTACATAGAAATTTATATTAGCAATACTATGAGGGGTGTGAAGATTTGTATAAAAGCATCTGGTATAATCAGATAGAAAATCAATAACTAACATAAATAAAAGTATGACGTGTGTTTAAAGTTTTGCCTTCTGGATGATTCTGTTTATGTGTTAAGTTTTGAATCTTGATTATCAAATAAAAGTGTCATTTGCTTTCTCGGGAAAAAAATGAAATAATAAAAGAAAGTCCCTCGCATAAAGAGTATGCCATTATCACACTATAAAACGCTATAATATTTATTTTGCAAACAAGCTATGAACTAGAATACCGAGACAACCCACGTGATCGGGCAGGTGACGTACCAAATTAACTTTTCACGTCCGACCGAATCGAACCCCGGTCACCTATGTGAAGATAGGCGCCGGAGCGAATTACCACTACGCAACTTTGCCACCCATACAGTTATGTATTTACAACTAAGGCAAAGTTTTAGGTACTGAGGGACTTGGATCTCTAGTAGAATATTGAACTACGTCTTCACATCAAAACCATAGAAAATCCATAGATCAATCAATTTCTGGACTTTAAGGTCTACTTCAGTGAATGTGTTCAGTACTAATATGTTTCTTATTATATCTGTCTTATGCACGATCCTTTTTCATTACTCTTCCCACCGTTCTCATACTACTCCGAAACGAGCATTCAATGCAACAGTGATACGGCCCAGTGATTCGCCTTTTTCAGTCGGTGCTCTCCAAAGAGAAAGTTTAAAATAGCATCTGTGACGTCACATTCGTAAACCAAGATGGCCTACTGAGGGGCATGTTTTGTTTGTGGAAGGATTAAGATTGTTGGTTTTCGGTGTATTCTGTTGTAAAAGAGGAATTTATATGAGCTGATTATGACTGTGTAGGTACAAGGAATTATCCCGATTCTCAGATTTAAAGATCTTAGTCAAAATGGAGCTAGAACACCGGGAATCTCGACCAGCGCACATTGGATTTTAGTGTACGGGCTTTTTACAGGCTGCCGGTGCAGGATATATTCTTTCTCTGGTAGTCTAGCATCGTACATCACTCACAGTTCATACTGCACTCTAAATAACTGTTTTGTGGTTCGATGATATTTCGTTAGACCAATGCTTCTTTTCTAGACATATGAGTAAATCAATTTTAATTCTCATATTTCAATTTCATATTCATTGTTTGTAAACATCGATCTTGTGTATTAGCAGTAGTCAGTGTTGGGGGCCTTATAACGGAGCATTGTGCATTAGCGTTGGCCCCGTGTTCTCAGCACTCCTAACTCATAAAATACTATCGTAATTTATGAATTCAGGAAACAAAAGCGTTGCTTCTAATAGAAATGAATGCAGTTTCTAACAAAGAATATGTAAGTGTGTGAAACCCTGTGTATTGGAATAGAGCCTTGTGAATGGAGACCATGCTACACGGGTGAAGTGAATGCACTGCTGTATTCAGCACATAAATGTAGAATTTTTGTTGTTTTTGTAAATATTTTGACAATGTATAAGGTAATGTGAAATAAACCAATTGATATTGGTTGAGTCGCAAGATACCTGCATCAGCATTTACAGATGTCAGTGTTGTGTCCTGTCTAGTAATGTCTGTGCTCAGGAAAGAGCTTCAGGTCCCAATGCTACCTAAGAAATATCCACTGATATGTGTGGTAATTGTGATAAGTTTGTGTGTTATCTGGGGTGTGGAAGCCTGTCCCCCGGGCTGCACATGCACCACCCTTAAAGCCAAGGATGACAAGAGTGGAGAGACCCCAAGGATAGGGCGGGGACGCAAAGTCAACTGTGCAGAAAATCTGTCGCCAATAACATCCGCTGATCAGATCAAAAGCCTCCCTCTTGATACTGTAATTATGTAAGTATAAGAGTGAAAATGATAATGACCATAGCATATACTTAATTAGCACTACTTCAACAGCACGAAACATATGTATATTATTTTACTCTAACTTTTATTTTGTGTTACTAAATGTATGAACCACTGTCATTTCTTTCAAGTACATACAATGTTAATAACAATACTGCTTTTTTTTTTAAAGAATATTTTATTTAGGTAAAATATTTTAGAAATGAGAAATCAATGTCGCAGTAATTAATTTACATCCTGGTTAAATACTAGTAACAGTATGCCACTGGCCTAGAGAATTGATCTCTTTAGTTCAGTTGCTAACTATTAGCAGGGTCCCAGGTTTGAATCCTACTGAAGACTTTGAAATAAATAATGACCTCTGTTGCATACACATGAACGGCATGTTTATACTATCTTATTTTGAATATATTGTCATAGAAATTCATTATCTACATTGATTTGTTCAGCTTTCATTTCGTGAGTGTAGGTAAAATTAGAAACAAGACAAAGGAATGGAGATTTCATTTGGTGCAACTTTTAAAAAATGCAAAATTTTGATGTCGCATTCTTCAATTAGAGCTAGTGTAAGATAAAAGTAACAATGATATTTTGATTTCTGAATACGTATTTGTCCTAACATGGGTATTTTGAATAATATGAAATGACAAGAAATTTAGTACTTTCAGATTTATTTTGTTATTTGGTACATAAGTTTGACAGAATATTTTTAGGAATAGTGTTGCACTTCTATATAATTCTTTTGTGGAAGAAAGTCTCTGGGAAATATTTTCTTTTTTATATGGGTACATATCAATTATGTATTAGAATGGTCCTTTTTCTGGTGTTAATTATATTTGAGGCTTCTGATTTAAGAAAAAGTATTTTTCTGTGGCTTCTTTAGTGATCATTGTATTTGAGACATAATTTCTTAAAGCCAGACAAATCTTTCTTCATATCCTAACTAGTGTTCATATTATTCTGTGTGTATAGTGTTCTTTGAGGAAGTAATGAAGATATTAATAATTTGTCTCCAACAATTTATTTTCACATGACAATGAACCATCATTTGTAACATGTATGGAGGGCACACAGTTATGTGTGCTGATGAAGTGTTGGTAGGGGTCAGAGGTATTAGAAAAGGGTGAATGGAGGTCAACACAAGTATCCATTGCTGGAAATTCAGTGCTTCACATACAGCCATTGCCTACATCTGTGTACTGTAATCCCCCTTCCCACCCCCTCTTCCCTATTCCTCCAGAAGCTTTAATTCGTAATCTATGATTCATATCTTACAAAAATAAACTATATTTCTTATATCTCTGTATACATAAGGTTTTCTATATATATTTTTTTCATAACTGACATTGAAATGTTTTAACAGCTAGAGTTGGGCAGAAGACCAAAATTTGTTAGAAGGAAACATTAACTTTATACAGCGTGAAAAATTCAGAAAACTTAGTGTCTTTGCATGTAAATATAATCACAGCGTTATCGTTGCAGAATGACCTCTTGACCTGTTACTCTTTCTAGTTTTTGCTGAATGGTCATAATGATGGAAGAATACAGATATTCATATGTTATAGATACACTGTATTTGTATTATGTTCAGGGCATTCAACTTAACCGTCGCCCTTTGACAATTTTGAAAGTGAAACCACAAATCTGAAGAATCCGAATATGTGAAAAAGACATGTCCCTTCTAACTGAAACGTCAAGAGTAAAAAATATTCCCCCCAAGGATCTGCTTAATGTAGATACAAATACAAATGTATGATACATATGATGGCAATGCTAAGTAAATTAAGTGTATAATTGATAGTGAAAAGATATTACTGTCATCCTGTAATTATGAGAAAAATTCCCAGTTTCATCAAAAGTTGATACAGAAATAAGACTTTTAAGAAGATTTGTATTTGGAAAACACAAGGTTGTTTCTCATTTCCATGTAGACCAGTGTGTGTTTCAGATCTAATTCTGCAGCATTTCTTTGAAAATTCAAATGAAAACACAGTTTTTGTACATGTTGTAATATGACCTTAAAAATGTCTGCAGATCTAGATAACTAACTCCTCCAGTTGAATGTTAGCAGAGTCAAGGTAACTGTATAGTGTTGATGTACAATTGGGGTGTACAGGGAGCAAACCCAAGGTTACTGAGCACATTCTGGTACCCTCCAAATCCTTCATTATGGTAGTGCCATGTGGTGCCCTATTAGGCACAGGAAATGAGGAATGTGGCCTAATTAATAGTACACTACAGGCACCAGTCAGTAACTTCATTACCTGCTCGGGTAGATGATACTGCTCATATAATCTTTACAGTTTTTTTGCCTGTAGTACAAAGGTAATGCTTGCACCTGTTCATGTCACTTCATACCTGTACAGGTAAAGTCAGCATGGAGCTTCCGGAATCCAGTGGTATTGAGTACATTTATAAAATGCATATAAATTAAATAAATGCTGTCTGTTTACCCAGAGTATTGTCTAGTTTATTGATATGATCATGCAATCCAAGTTGTCATACAGCTCTGAAGACACTGATTTATGATTTTTTTTCAATACATACATTTTTTTGTGCAGTTGATGCATACTTCAGCATTAAAAGGTATAGGAATTTATGCATTTTTATACAACAAATGTTTCAGCTCAGGAACACCCACGAATAATTTTTTTACATGCATGGTAAATTCATACCTGACTAAACCTGGATGTGCATACAATGGTGATAAGATGTACTATTGTATCAAAGTTAAATTGGATATTGTTTTATACAACAAATTATGTGATATAGTTAATGTACCTTATGTAGTGTCTGTAGACAATGTACACATAAAAGCTTAGATCTTTACAATCTGTGGTAACAATCATTCATCTTTGAGAAAGACAATTTTATGATGTATTTTGATATTTCAATGTCTGTTACATCAGTTGTGAAAAAAGCGAGACATTAAAGAATGTCATCAGAGTAATTCTCATGTAGTAAAGGTTAATAGTCAGAAAGCAATTAGATCATTGGACATTGTTAGTATACATGTAGAATATATCAACAGTATTAATGAAACTACATATAAAGTTGTCCTCCACTAAGTGCATGTATAGGGTTGTACAAAACACAGATACAGAAGAGTCAAATAAAGTGTTAAATGCATCATACAGCTGTTTCACCTCTTGAAGACTTGTCAGTGATATATTAAGGCCCTAAATTTTGAAACTGAAAAAATGACAGATGAAAATCAAAATTGTTTGATAGAAATGTCAAATTGTAGATGGGGATTACCCCATAATTCAATAGATATGTAATTTTCACCAGATAATTACAAAAGAAGGACAATTCTTTTTTGTATTTTTTTTCATTTTTTAAAAATTTTTACAGCAGTACAAAAAATAACATTTTTGATATTCTGTAGTTTTAAATACATGAGACATCATATTTTTTAGTGTTTACTTATACTCTTTCAAATGTTACTAAAGCAATGCAGATTCATGATTTCAAGAGTTGAAAAACATGGTGCCTTGTACTGTTTCTAAGGAGAGAAAGAAAAAGACAGTTATAGATAAGAAAAGATGGAGATAGATAAGAAAAGATGGAGGTAGATAAGAAAAGATGGAGGGGAGGACAGAGAAAAGAAAAGGTGCCTAAGGAATAATGAAGAATTCCTTTTTCATAATAATCATATTTTGATAGAAAGCTTTCATACATTCATTAAATATGAAAAAAAGACCCATCAAGGACTAGGCAAGGCTAGTTATGTGGCTTCTATCTTTTAATATGTGGTTTATAGTAATCTTTCCCATTTTCCAGATTTCTATAAAGTATAGGAGATCGTTTTCACCTTTGCCAGAAGCTGTATATTTTTGAGTGGTATACATATCTTTAATTTGGTTCTTTTGGGCAGAAATGGGCAATGTAGTTTGCAGACATCTGGCCTTGTATATATAGAGTTTCAAGATCAGAATTACTAAGTTATCCATACTGTTATTTTTATCATATAAACCAAATGATAAATGTTTCCTTATTAAAAGCAAAAGGAATCAATAACACATCTAATATAGACTCAAAATTTGATAAAAATGTCGTAATTTACAATCCCAAAGTGCATGAACAATGGTTTCATTTTCAGTTTTACAATGGAAACAAAATGGACGATCAGTCAGACCAATTTATATAAATATGTGGTAGTTGTCAAAATGTGTTGATTAATTCTTAATTGAAAAAAGAATGTCAATTCATGTAAATACATATTTAGATTATGAACTGTGCCACAATAGCAATATTTGAATGAAATAGAATGTGGCATGTGGTTATGGCAAACATATATGTACATAAGTGATAGGTGATTATATCTCATAAACTCTGAAGTGTTACTCTCGACTTACTGACAATTTATTGTGGGTGTATTACCTTTATGACATCTTACCTGTGCAGGTGCAAGCTCGCATATCATATTAAAAAGGATCCTGTTATAGCCATTTGAAAAAAAAAAGATATTATGTAAATGGATGTATATTTAGAAATAAGCTTATGTAATTTACCATGCACATTAATAGTAAGGTGAGAACTTATTACTTGATCAGTTTCAGTGTCTGGAGAAGGTGTCGTGTAATCTTGTTACAGGTGTATTTATAATGTACACAGGTGTACCTGTATTACCTGGTACACAGGTAAATCATTAGAATGAAGGCAAATTCCATGTTAATTGATATTTTACATGAACATCATGAGCAACATAAGGCATTGTTAGGTAATACAGTTGTATCGTGCCTTCTCACCTGTCCAGGTATATATCAGCTGTAGACTGTTGTACTGGTATATAAGGGACAGGTAATGCTGTGCCACTGTTGATGTGTGTGGCCTGTAATGTATAGCATTGTTACAAGCTTGTGTAATTAATCGCTGTGTGTCTAGATTGATGGCCCTATGATGTGACACACATACATGATATCTCATAGGAATACCCATTGTTACATATCTCACTTACACAGGTTCACAGAGTTCCACCATCTGTGTATACTTGTAAATGAAGTATTTTGCAGAATCTTTTCTTAATTATAATATTGACTGTTTTGGTATTCAAAATAGTCTCTAGAAAAAATAACTGAACCTAAAGTATATCATCAGGTAAGCAGATATATCAAGGGCACTACATATACAAAGCATTATGAATTCAAAGTGTTTTGTTTGATGTAAGTCACCTTCCACATCAGAAACCAGATTAAAACTTCACACATTTTAATTTCAATACATTCTGCAAAATTACAATGTGTAATTGCTAAAATCTGCGTAAATGAATAACACTAATGAAAAAAAGTTCAGAAAAAAAGAAAATAAACTTTAATAATATTGTGTATTGCCTTTTAAAAAAATGAATTTTGTCTCATAAAGGGAAAGTTATTCTGATTTTTTTTAACCTGGTATTCAATTTTGACAATGACAGATTTCATGCTTATTTATCCTAGGGAAGAGCTTTAGAAATTATGTAACCTTGTTTGATATACATAATTTTCACTGTTTAAATTCATAAATTCATATGAACTTAGAACTGTGCATTCATTAGACAAATGTAAATGGTTAAGGTACATGTATATACAAATTGTGATTGTCCTGGAGTTATTGTTTTCCATCATCTGTAATAATATGTTTCTAGGAGGTCTATAACTACACCAGACAGTTATAGTAAAAACATGTACATAATTGTAAGGAAGAGTTCTCTATATGATTTATTGTGTTTGGTAGACAATGCTTTCTATAATATTTGATATGGTATGTATATGTATGTGAAGGTTTTACACACCACAACACTGAACCATTATGATATATTTAAAGGAGGTCTGAGTTAAGGTAACCGTAGAGATTCAGCTCAACTATTCCTAAAGCAAAGTATCCAAAATCTTGTGTAAAAGCAGCATGTTGATTGCTAGATTCATCTTCAAATATATAACTATCAAAGGCAAGTGCTAACTTCAAGAAATTAGAAAATTTGGAATATGATAATCCAGGATTTTATGATATACCTTAATATAATCGACAGTCTACTTGGAGTTCACAAAAAGATCTTTGAAAACCTGATATCTTACATTCAAAATCTTTTTTTTTGTCAAATAATTACAAAAATTATTCTGAACATTCATGATGTTGCAGTTTTTGTTATGATATATATATATATATATATATATGTCTATATAGGAGTAAACTTATCCAATGTTAATTCTTGTAGATTTGTTATTGTTTTGTTGAGTTTACTGCCTCATGAGCAAGGGTCAGTTTGAGATGGTTGTCATGTTGTAGTACATTGTAGCTGGTCATGATTACTACCTCACTGAACAACTTCTGGAAGGCCCTTCACATGCCACCCAGAGTAAACAATAAACTGTGTTGTCCAAGCACTATATCACATGTGTTTTCCACTTCCTGGGGAACACGAAAGTCCACATATTTAGTAAGGAGGACGGAACAACATACCCAACTTGGATCTTCATCATAGTTGTTACGTAGGCCGATACTCTAATTAATTAAGCTATTGTGACCTCAGTGTTGCTTCTATGAAATTCTTTTGAATACAATTAATGCAAATTAAGTTTCATTTTATTTCCTGTTGTTTAAGTTTGACCTTATTATGAAAAGTTTACACTTTGAATTTTTCAGTGACCTGAGTAAGAATGCCATCACTGTTCTGAGGCGAGCGTCATTCAACAGACTCTCTATGCTGCGTAAATTGTAAGTAAAATTTTATCACCCTGTAACTTAGCAATATCAGTATAGGTTTGCAAAGGTATATACTATGTAAATGATTGCCAGACCAAAAATTAATTTTTAGCTTTTGTTTTCTCTTATTTTTTAGCAATATTTTTTACCTGGATACATTTTAATAGATGTTTTTAGGCTACTTGTGCTGGCTGGTCACCGCTTGCCAAGCACCGGGTTTGTATTGCGTGTTGACATAGGTTATGTCTTCAGACATTCAATGTGTTAGCAACTATGTTATGTTTTATATCTTCCAGATAGTTTGTGTCATGTAAATGCTGTATTTGAAGGAAATCAATTAATTAAGTTTAAATGTGATTTTTGGGACTCATATATTTGAGTCCTGGACTCATGCTTTTCCTGTGGGACTCAATGAAATTGAAAATTGAAATTGAATACCCAGTGTTGTATCTTTTAGTGTTGTGACTCATACAAATTTTGGAATTGTGTTTTGGACTCACCTGAACAAATCCTACAAAAATTACTGACTTAGATATGACTGTGACTCATACAAATTTTGGAATTGTGTTTTGGACTCACCTGAACAAATCCTACAAAAATTACTGACTTTGATATGATCTATGTTGTGCTTTGATTAATAGTGGTAAATTATTCTAGTGCAACATTGCACATTCACAGGGATTAATAATGAACCATCCATTTGCTTGTGTCTGACTCCAAGAATTTCTCTTTAGCGGAATGGTTGGAGTACTAGACAGTTATCCTCTGGTCTTGGGTTTGAATACTAGTATTATGAAAGTTGCTGTAGTTTTATACTAGTGCAGTACATTAGATGCTGCATCATGTAGCTTGTACAGAAATTAAACCTGTATGATATGGAGATTTTACAAAATGAATTGATATAACTTAAAGATTTATTTTTGTTAACTTGGTTGTTTTGTTACCACAAATATATTACAACTTGTCAGGTTTTTTGTGAAGTTGCGAAACAAAAAATTCTTTTAACTTGTAACTTTAAATGTAATTATGATTGAAGGGGATATAATATGTGGAGATATTTGTCATTGGTGCACTTTGTGTGTGTGTAATTGTGTGTAACACAACAAAAGAGGTGTCATATTGACACCCAGGGAGAAGCAAACTGTCAGTGAACCAGACCAGGCTTCATTGTCCTGGGGAAGTTAGCATTACATGCTGATTACACAGGGATAAAGCTGGGGTTACATGAAGGTAATAAATGGTCAGAATAGTTTCCTTGTTTTTCTATGGAGGAATGAAACTGTTGTAACATAGGGGATAAGGGGTCAGTAATACTGATACTCGTTACCATTGTTGTAACAAGCTTTATGTAATAAGGACCAATTATACAATCGCAGAAAGGTGAGAAATGCTTTAAGTGGTAAAGTACGTAGTTACCAGTGTCATTTCAGTCTGACACAGTACTATAGTATATGTGTATTGTTACTGTATATATGGATGATGTTGAAACAGACACAGAACTTGGTTTATCTGTATGTGTATAACACATCTGTTCATTCATTTGTAGGTATGCTCTATACATTTTTTCATTGCTCTAATCTACCTAGCTGTATGGTGCAGACTTTATTCTTTTTCATGGCAATCTGATGATACCATAATATTTCTGTAGATTTGAGTAATATAGCCCCTGTATGCAGTTGCATTATGTAGTTGTAGAAATGAGAAAATTGTATCGTGTAATATAACATTCTACTGCTTTGTTTTGATATTAATAAACATTTTTGTCAGTAGAACTTTGTTGCATGTTACGGGTACATATTTGTTCCACATGTTTTGTTTTTAAACAGTTAGTTGTGACTAAACCTGCTCACTATTGTGACTATGGCCATGTTTCATTACAAGGATAATACTTTTATTACTCGGCTCAGTTAGAGATCTACAAATTCAGATCCACTAATAAACAACACACATGTAGTTTTTCTCTGAAGTATCTTAACACATATATGTATTCATACTACATAATGGCTGTGTGTTAATCAGGAACATGCTTGCTGGGAGTTTGTGGAGAGATGATGCTGGAAAAATTTTTAGTCTGTAAAAAGGACCTTTATTGTGCAGAGGTTTACTTCTGAATAAATAACCAAGGTTCTATAGCCATGTTGTCCACATCACTTGTGAAGCATGGGGAGTCGATACAGAAAGGTAAAAAAAAACTTATTTGATAAATAGGTTCCAATGGTTGTTAGTGGGGCCAGCCGATCAAACCAGCAAACTGCAGATTCAGCAGATGTATTGGCAAGTTTCTTACTTTACAGAACTATTAGAGAATTCATGTCTGAACCGACAGGTTACACTTTTTAAATCAAAGGTAACAGTTTCAACACAGGAAGATATGGGGATGTGGTTTATAAGACATAATTTCATATGTGAAACATCACAAAGTTTTATTTGGTGTTATATCTAGTGAAGATACAGACACAATTTCCTACATCATCACATTGGAAAATTGACTTTGGAATAGTATTGATTGTTACCAATCAAATTAGATCTTCCTATTTGTCTGCATTTTACTTGATCTACAGACTCTCTGTGTGATTTTTTTTATCATTTGCCGGATATATCGCCCCATGACCATTGGCAGGGCTATTTTTAAGCAATCTGCTGTTAGCTGGTGGCTTACCTTTCTGAACACCATGTGAGAACCCACTGTGTGCTATCTAAAGCAACTTGGGTAATGTGCCTGGCCCAAAGTCACAACCAGGCAGCACAACAGTGATCAGGGATCTCGGCTTGCTGAGACTTAAAAACATAAACAGTGTCCTGAGGTTTGAATAATTCTATGGACGGAGTGTGCAAGTAACAATATTTTTGTAAGAAAATCCAACTTCATTTTTAAAGCTAGGAAATTATAGAGCTGCATCAAGTTACCCATCCAAAATACTACACTCTTCTACATGTTAAAGCTGTGTCAACAATGGTACTTTGATGTTAGCATTTGTACACATGCTTACTGATAATAAACTCCACATTTTCAATGTAGTAAAGTTTGGCAGATCACAATCATTTACTGATATTTTCAAGGTTTGTGCTTTAGCATTATGTTTAGATTCTTAAATTTACTTAAACAAGAAACTGGTCCTTTTATCAATGCACTGGTTGGGTATGTATGTTCCTATGTTAACCAATTACAAGTTGGTCAAATTATTTCAATTGAAAGAACATATATGATAATTTTTGTGAATTCTTTGTCTTTGAATTGTTTACACATTTCATATATATTTTAAAGACTTTGAACATACATTTATAGATATATATGTTGAAGGTGAACTGTAAAGTCAGAATAGTGATACTTTTTATTTCTTACATTAGATGTAGATATCTGTTTTATGAACTAGTGTTTCCTTGTCTTCCTACCCCTGCCAGGAACAGATTAGAGTTCCCTGAGCTCTGCAGCACTCTCCATTTATGTGTACCAGTATGATGAAGTTAATTACATTTGAACTTTTATGCACCTGTAAGAAGAAGAGCTGAATGCCAGGTATGGCAGGCATTGATAAGTCCTGGAGAAGGCACACACTGCCAGACCAACACAGACGTTTCAAGATTTTTTTTTCTTCTTAGCAATTTAATGACATGTTTCTCCCAACGATTTTTATTAAACTCCTGATTAGACTCGTAAAGTGTAGAAATACAACTGTTGAAGAGATAGAGGCCTATCTAAGATGAGTGTGGATGTATAAGTAGGTGGGATAGACCGTATGTGTAGGCATATAGGGAAGGTATAGGCAGATAGCCTTAATGATATTTAGCCTTTAGACTGGGATAGGCTTCGTTACTAGGAATAGGCTTAATGCAGATGTATGGGTACAAGTTATAGGGTGGGGATAACATGTATGTATAGATGGATAAAAGGGTAGAAATAAGCCTGTATACCTGCTTAATTACAATCTAGGCCCAGGATTATGTGAACAAGATGAATGTCAGATGGTTGATGACCATGATGAGCAGGCTGAAAGGTTACCTATCTCTAATTCTTATATAACACATACAACACCTTGATGGGGATATATCTATGCTCTTTAGGTAGTCAGGTTTGGTTGGCGGAAGGAATAGGCTGTTTGTGTTGGCTGATTAGGATAGGAATAGGCTGTTTGTGATAGGAATAGGCTGTTTGTGTTGACTGATTGGGATAGTAATAGGTTGTTTGTGTTAGGAATAGCAGACATATCTATGTACCAATATTATGTAATGTTATCTCATATACATGCACATGTTTGTTAATTGATAACTTCACATGACATTAGAATCAATTGCATAATTTTGTATAATTTGTTTTGCCTTTCATTAAAATTTTTGTTTCCTAAATTACAGTTATGTATGACCAAAACAGCACAATACAAATAGTGAAATACATATTTGGAGTATTTCTGAGTTTCGTGTGTTACTTGTCCTGGTCAAATTGTATCCATAAACGAGTGTATTTTCAGCTTAAAGTGAGCACCTACATCATGTATCCTTGATAGAAAGTTTTGTAGGCTTCACCTCATTGTCTCATGGCAAAAATTGCCTCTTAGCTCTCAAATCCTGTAGAGTTAATATTTTATATGGGGGATATATGAGGTGCATGTATGTGTTTGATGTACCTATGTTACCCCAGAGAATACAGTTTGGGTGTTGGCTGTAATGAAGAGACTAAGAGAGACCAGAGGTACGCTTTTACACTATCATAACAGTTTTTTCAAAGGAGTCCAACAGATGTTCTCTGAATTCTGGCAAATGAAATGTGAGGTATATGCTTGGAATCATCTGTAGCTTGGAGAACTGGGCTACAGCCTTTCCTAAGATAGCAAAATACCTGATGGGAACGTGTGATCAACCAAATGGAATGGCCAGACCTTCCAACAATCGGCTTCACACCCTCTGGTTTATTGATTTGTTTTCTATATGGCTTAATGGTGACTCTCTCAATGTGTAATCATTGCTATTTTACAGTGCAGATGTCTAAGAAAAATAAAATGGATTTCTTGAGCAAA